CAGGAATACAATGTAACATGTTATTTTAAAAATAAATTGCTTAAGAAACAATGCAAGTTGACTTTATATATATATATATATATATATATTAGTTAAATGAAAGTACAAGTGGACCACAGAAATAGCAAAAGGTAGACTGAGGTTTAAGAAATATTGCCTCAAGATAAGCCTTAAATCTCATATGTCCCAGATGTGCTCTTCTTGAAAAGTGGCCCCTATCTTTGCATGTGTGGTTTGGAACACCTTGAACGGGCCCACTTCTGGTGTGCGGATTCATAGAAAATCTGTGCTTGCAGGGCACTCAGGGAAGGAGTGTCCAATTGGATTACAGAACCAGGACCTGCAGAAGAACTGTTTTCTGCAACCACTTGCTACTCAGAGTGCACTCTGCATCTTACCCACTACAGTCTTTAGATCGTCCCTGTTGGCTCCGTGATGAAGAATCCATCTGCCAATGCAGGAGATGAGAGTGAAATCCCTGGGTCGGGAAGATCCCCTGGAGAAAGAAATGGCATCCCACTCCAGTATCCCTGCCTAGGAAATCCTATGGACAGAGGAACCTGGTGGGCTCTAGTTCATGGGGTCACAAAGAGTCAGATACAACTTAGCAACTGAGCATGCACACCGGGAACTAAGATCCCACATGCTTTAGGTTCACTGAGCCTACATGCCGCACTACTAAGCATTCTCGGCAGTCCGTGTGCCACAACTGGAGAGGCCTGCATGCCGTAACAAAGATCCTGTGGGCTACAACTGAAGACCTGACTCTATCAAATCAGTCATAAATATTAAACAAATAAATGCTCTTTAATCCATTGTCTTTTTCAAGTTCTTGCTCAAGAGGTAGGCTGATATATCAGGTTTCAAGGCAGAAGACTTTGGGAGATTGAGGAACTTGCTCCATATCCCAGTGGCCAAGCTTTCCAACGGCTTCAAGTATTTGCCTCGGGCTGGACCTTCAGGCCACGATCACACTAATACCGGAAGTAGCACAGAAAAGCAGTTGTAAGCTACTAAACTTGTCTTTCTTTCCACCTGAACTGTGACCCCAATTAGCAACCTGTCCTGTGAACACAACTCATTTAGGAAGAGCAATGATAAAGTAGTATTTATTGAATGTGCTAGGTGCTTTGTATACATCATGTCTTTAATCCTGGAAGAATGTTCTCATATAGATGAAAATGCCTAGATAATCAGTTCACAGATTCTCTCTCTTCTTTCTTCCATTTCCCAAGAACCCAAATATATTTTTATTTGAATGAATCGAAACCTTGTTCAAGTTGCTTCATCGTTTGGCTGATGTGGTATCTGGCACCCTCTAGTGACAGAAAGATTCTTTGGCAGAAGTGATGTTCCTAGATCTTCAGCCATCTCTACAGGCTTGTTTAAGACCCATCGTCCTTATGGAAACTGTAACAGTCTATTTGTAACAACTAATTTTGATAACAGAGAATTTCTTATACCAATTATAAGCTCTTATGACCTACTTGTTAAGGCTTTTTTTAGCTGTAAGACTGTGGCTTAAACAAACGTTGAGACTGTATCGAGAAGGGTAACTGTGGGTAGTCTAACTTTTGATTTCAGGACTAAGTCAATTTCAGACTCAGGCGACACTGTCAGGCTTGGCCCTTCGGTGTGATTTCTTCTCATCATGGGTTGACTATGCCTTCAGCTCTGGCAGGAGCAACCTCATCAGTTCTGTGCCGCAAGTGTTTCCACTTCAAATACAGTGGAAAAAAGAAAAAGAAGAGCGTGTGTCCCACTGATTCCTGGAAAGCTCACAACAGAATGTGATGTGCTGGTTGCATTAACCAAGTAGGGTTCCTTGTCCTCCTTTCCCCTGCTTTACATACACACACAGACTCTAGGATCGGTGTCACCACTGCTGTAATGATTAATCTTATGTGTCACCTTGACTAGGCCACAGGATCCAAAGACTTGGTACTTCTCTAGGTGTTTCTAGGTGTATTTCTTAGAAGGCATTGATATTTAAATCAGGAGACTTTGAGTAAAGCAGTTGCCCTCCATAGTATGGGTGGGCCTCGTCCTATCAGTTGAAGGCCCTAAGAAAAGGACTGACCTCTCTTGAAAGACAGGGAATTTTGCCAGCAGATGGCCTTTGCAATTCTCCCTTGGGTCTCCAGCCTGCTGGCCTACCTGGCACATTTTGGAGTTGTCAGCCTACATAATCACATAAAACAATCCCTTACAACACATCTTTCTCTCTCTCTCTCTGTTTATATATAGGTCTATGTAAAAATAGATAGATAGACATAGTTATATAAATCATGGTATCTATGGCTAATCTGTATGTATCCTACTGGCTTTGTTTTTCTAGAGAACCCTGACTAATGCAACCACGTCAATAGCTAAGAAGATGGAAGAGGAACAAAGGCAACTTGGAAGATGTTGTTACCAGGAAGAAGGGGAGAAGATGTAGAATAAACAATCATGAATGTGCACTACAGATGGGGGTTATTAAAATCAATTTGCTGCTATTTAGTAAGAGAAATTTTGTTGACAAAAATTTTAAAACATTAGGGGATAAGAAATAAAAAGTCTTGGTGGTAAAAGGGTATTGGGGGTTTTCTTCCTCCCAGCTTTTTAAAATAAGTAGACATATGTTTAAAATGTTTTTCAGAATGAAATGTTCAATGGCAAGGTTTCTTTAGAGTAAGGCAGCAGGCTTTAACTTACATGGTATGGCTTGAGTAAAACCAGGATGGTTGTCCAAAGTGTCTCCCACATCTGGTGGAGTGCCCAAAACTCTATTATTAAAACTGTATTTCTTTGCCCTTGAAGGCCTGTAAAAATGTGTTACTAAAATAAACTGTTAAAGATGTCTGAACTGTTTCTTCTAGAATACCAGCATTCATCAGGTGTTCATTCAGTAGGTGTTCTTCAAAGAACTCCATAAAGAAGACAAAGAAGGCGGGGAGCAGTATAGATCACAGTTCCATCTTAGACAGTCAGAATGCATATTAGCATATTGAGGGCTCAGAGAACTCTTAGATTAGGAGACCTGTTTAAATTAACCCAGAATTTTCTAAAATCATTTGATCATGTTAAAGTACCTACTACTATTTCATTAAACTTAAGGGTTAGGTGTGTGTGTGGAGTGGGGGAGATTTGGGGGGAGTTAGAAAGAGCAATGACTCAGGAGAAAGAATATCTAAGGTTAATTCCTGGATCTACTATTTACTAATTAAACTGTCAATGTTGCTTAAACTTTTACGGCTACAATTCTTTATAAAGCAAATATAATAATTAGCCACCTCACTGGGCTAAAGGTGGCAAACATTAGGTATGGAAGAACCATTTGTGAAAGTTGTTGACTTATGATTCACTCTCAAGAGATGTTGATTTTGTCAACTGTCTCACTCTCCTCCATTCCTTCCTCCCTCCTTTCTTGCCTTTCTTCTTATGATTTTTTATTTCAATAAACTTCTAATTTCAGAATAGTTTTAAACTTACAGAAAAGTTGCAAAGATAATACAGAGTCTCCATATGCCAGTCCCTCTACACCCCTCCCCCCAGCCTCTCACCATTCACTTCTTTTTGTGTCTGTTTTGGGTTGCGAATTGTAGGAGCAGGACTGGTCAGCTAGGATCTTCTTAACAGCACTAACAATCTGCTGGGCAGTGAAGCAGGAGACAGATAAATCCACACCTGTAAGACAGGGCCATGAGTGCAGAGCAGAAAACAAGGAGAATGAAAGAATTTAGGAGGAAAGCATTCAGCTCCTAACCTTGAGTTGGGAGTCAGGAAGATCTCCCAGACGAAAATGTCTTGAAAATGTCTTCAGAGAGGGATCCGGATGGATGAGGGATGAGCCAGGTAAAGTGGGGGAAAGGAGAGTGTTCCTAATCGGATACAGCCAAAGGGCAAATGGACAGCGCAGGTGCAGAGCTTAGTGGAGGATGCCAGAGAAATACTGACCATTTCACCGGTTCCCAGCTTACCACCTAATTCAGAATCACGCTCATGAAGGATGTCATTATACAAACCTTCTTCTGTAAAACTGTTGCAAAACTGGCTAACCGGAATGATCAACTTTTCCAAAACAATAGTGACTTCGAGCTGTTAACCAAAGCACTAAAGTATACTTTTTTTTTTTTTTTACTATAAAGAAAATTGGCCAGGAAATAATGAGTAACAAAGGAGGGGAAATAATTGTAAGCTTTTAATCATGTAGCGGGAGCTGTGTGATTTGTCTTAGGAGTGAGCTCTGTACTCCTCGTGAGAATAAAATATAAAGGGTCCTCCCTCTTCGGAATCCCCACAGGACAACATCTGAACCTCTGCCTTGGAGAACTGCTACTTACAGACACTCATCCGGGGTTCCTGTGAACCTCTAACGTCGACACCACGGCACACGGAGCTGAGCCAAGACTGGGTCTGCTCTGAGAATCCCAGCAGTCAGCCGAGGCTCCTGCTCCGGAGTGTGCGCTCCGCACTTCATTCCTCCCCAGCCTCCCCAGCTGAAACTGCAGAAGAGTTTAGAAAGGACATGGGGCCCATTCTCAGGATCCTCACCTGAACCCGAGCATGCCAGTCGATCGCGGAAACGCTCCCAACGGGGAATGCCCGCTTGTGCAACAAACGCTGGCTCTTTCCCCGCTCCCCGTTCAACACCCCGGCCCTCACCCCACCCCCCCCACTCCAAGCGCCGGGTTGCAGAATCAAAGGCACCCTCCCCTACCCGGGCGTTCCCCAGCTAAGCTTCCTCCTCCAACCCCCACCCCCTGGCTCCGGGGACGTTTCTTTTGGTCTTTTCAAATGAGCCACCAACAGGTGTTCAGACACGCTGCTGGAGAAAGAGGAAAGCGTCCCGAGAGTAACAGTGCGTGAGCCCCCGGGGCGGACCCGGGAGGGGCGCACTCCTCCAGGCCGGCTGGAGCGCGGGGTGGGGCCAGTCGGGGCGCGCTTCTCACCGGGTGCGTAACTCGCCCTGGTGCCGGTTGGAAAGGCTCCTTCACTTCGGCGATTGCTGCACAGCCATGTCCGGGATCTGGGTTCTCTTGTCACTGGTGAGTCTTCTCTGCTCGGCCACTGGGCTGGCGCGGGACGCGCTCTGGGGGCGGCCGGGGGGTGGGGGTGCGCGCGTGGGCGGCGGACTTAGCCGGCTAGCTCCGCATGACTGCTAGGATTTCTCATGAGGGCGAGGTCTCAGGAAACCAGGCTACTCGTTTTTCTTGGGGCTGGATGCGAAGCTGCGAGCCCGCGAGGCAGGCGGAACACCCCTGGGAACGCGGTTTGCGGCGCCGAGGGGTTGGGCGTGGGGGGCTGGCCGGCGCCGGGGAGGTTTGGGGGGGTCGCTGCAGGGAGAGCCCCGTCTGAGGCAGGAAAGGGTCTTCTGGACAAGTCCTTGCAAGTCTCGCTAAGGCTGTGCTATGAACATATGCGCCCCGGGGCGGTGAGAACTTGCACTCTCGAAATTGAGAATACAAGTTTTTCCAACACTTCCCAACTTTAGGGAATAAATCAGCCTCGAGGCAGTGGTTACACCAGAGGCTTTGGACCGCACCTTTTCTTTCTTGAAAACGTTATCTTGGGGCTGAATGCGCCTTAAAGAGACTTGTTTACTTTTTTACCGCTACACAGAAAAAGAAACTGTTTTGTTTCCCTTCCGGGAATCCCTCTCCTTGAGAGTGTGAGTCACTATCTCAGGTTTGCCCTTTTTTTTTTCCCCTCTCTCTCTCTTCCGTTTTTTTTTTTTTTTTATTTTTATTTTTAAATCTTTCATTGTTTGCTGGACGGGAGCTAACCCTGGCCCCGCTGCTCAGGCGGTGGTACCTGCTGCCACCGCGCACGCGCTGAGCAGCCTGAACTTGGCCTAGAAGCCTAAGCCGCATCCACCTCTTTTGGAGAGTCCCTACCTCAGATATCCCGGCTTGGTGATGGTGATCGAAGACCCTGGCCTCAAGGGGTTCATCTGGGTTCCGAACTCTCTGAAAACCAGTGGATTCTTATTTACTGGGACTCATCGATGTGCTAGGCAGTGTGATAGGAATGTTTATGAGTATGATCTCAGTCATTTCTTGCAGCAGCTGCGCAGTATCTCCATCTTACATATGGCAAAATGGGGTTCAGACAGCTTACGTAAGTCGAGTCCAAACAGTAAGAGGCAGGACTGAATTTAAATCCAATTTAGATCCCATTCCAAAGCCTGGGGAGTGGGAATGGGGGTATCGACCACACTTATGTCCAGAGGACACCAAGAGTTGGGGGGAAAAAAAAAATCGATGTCTGGAGCCGTCTTATGGTTGGAAAAAAAATTCTCCCTGGTCCTTTTGGAGGTAATGTACGATGGTTGGGCTCCTTTAGAAATTTTCTTTGAGAAAATTTGAGATTCAAAGTTGGGAAACCATTTATACAACCTCAGATCACATTCTTCCTTGTCAAGAACCACTGCCTTATTGCAGTCTTGGTTGCTTTGACAATCTCTTAGGTCTTGGAACAACAATTCTAACAAGTATAGCAAAATTATCAAAGCCCAGAGCTACATTTTACTTTTATAATAATACTATAGCGTCTCTACCAGGGGTGCCTGTTTAAAGCACCACGAACTGCTTTTCTGAAAGAATGCACACGTATTCATACACACATATGTGCAAATACAGACTTACATTTATTTGTATATGCATATTATTATATCTATGATATAAAACATTCATTTATTATTGTTATATGATATAGAGCCTCAGAAGTGAATGTTTATTGAATAAAATGTGTTAATACAGATGTGTAGAAAGGAAAAAATCTGATATAACTGTATCACCTAGATAGTCCTGTTTACACTTTATAGTATAGCCTCTATTTCCCTTTTCTTGGGTTTAGTTACACAGAATCCTGCCCTGCCCCCATCAGGGGCCCAGCATCACGCCTCTGTTCTTAAAGAAGTTTCCACACTGTTCTGTCACCTTGTGTGTCTCTAGAAAATGCTTGCTTTTATGACTTAGCACTTAGTGGGGCTTATTTACCAGTCGCAAATAAATTAAACCAAATAAATCGAGGCGTGAGTGCTAACTGCATGGAACACAGAAGCAAATTTAGTTCAGCCATGTCAGTGGACTGTAAGCGGATGGGAGGGAGCAGCCAGGCTTTCTTTTTTCCTCTTTCTTTCTCTAGTCCTCTCATCTCTAGTGTGATCTGTCTTCAGCAAATAGCCCACTCTTTACCTCTTTGCTTCGCTTTCCATCTTTCTTCCCTCTTGAAGTTAGCTTTCTCTCTCTTAGTTTCTGGGCATCGTTCAGATACAGAAGAAAAGGCAAAGTTACTTTAGAAATTTGTGTGAGAAATAGCTGTGAGCACTGCTGCTGCTTCTTTTAATAGCACATAGTTCTGATAGCTTTTGTTTTGTAGTATTTAGGTCTATGGTTAGGCAATTACTAGATAGCCATTTTCCTGTCCTTTATTTCTTGGAGTTTTCAAAATTATGGGCAAGGGAAAGGAGAGGGCAGCTGAAAAAGAAACCGGTGTATTTAAAGTAATCATATAGGAGAGCTTTGAGAAGAAAATAAAGGACAGTTGTTTAATTTGTAATTTAATAATTTTTCCATAAACCAGGCTAAGAAGCAAGAAATAGGTTGTGGTATGTTTCTGTTTATTGTTGTTTCTAGCAGGTTTTCCTTATCTCATGGTAGACTTGAAAATTCTTTTGAATAAAAAAATATTATGAAATGTAATTTAAAACATTAACAACCAGGATGTAAAAACACACATTGATAAAAGATGGCAAGATTGGGAGGCAAAAATGAAATTGATATATGAAGATCCTCAGGACCTTCACTGCTAGCTTCAATTAGATGAATGAAAACTCTTTTATTGTCCAGCTCCATAATACAATTACCACCCTTAGTGGCAAAACTAGAGTTTAATTTAGCAAAACAGTTTTTACTCTTGCATTGAGTTTATAGAAGGAGAAAAGTGAGATAGAGGCAAAGAGGACTCAGGATTTTGATGTTGTCTCTAAGTAAGTTTCTTTGGAACACTAAACAAGTAATTTACTTCTAAATAGTTCCTAAGAGTGGACATGTCCGCATTTCAAAGGAACCTCTCTGAAGGCTACTAGCAGTATACCACAACTGCTAAGGAGTAATCACTTTCTAAGAGATGATCAAAAACCTGAATAAGGAAATCCCCCACTTGAAAACCCCTAATGAGTTAAGTGCCTTTTGGTAAATTATCTTGGGTTCCAAAAGTCCCTTAAATGAGCACATGTTTTGTAATAGGTACTAAAGACTTATTGACTTATGATGAAAAGTAACAATATAAAGGTAATAACATGTATAGCTTGTTACCAAAAAATTATTTGCAGAATCACTGTAAGTACCTTAATGGACAGTAGTGTATTCTTTTTGCTATGTGCTTGCATCTATTTACAAAAGTGGGAAAACAGCATTTAACTACTTAATAAGTCCATTCATTTCCTGGAAGACCTTTGCTTTGAAATGAAATAGATAAAATGAATAAATAAACAAAAATGAAATAAAGTACTGCATATTTTGTTTTGTATGTAATTGGATTCCTAACACCAATTGAGTATCTTCCATTCAGTCTTAATCAGGAGCAAATAACTCAAATGTACTTGCCTACTTTTATTTTCTTTGATGTGAGAGTATGAGTAGTAAGACCCAAATTAGAAAGTTGATCATTGTAAGACTGTTAACTTCACCTTCCTCAGAAGGAAACGGGCTGGTTCTCCTCTTTGATCACAGTTCCCTTCTTGATTTGGAATGAGCTTTTGTGCAACTGAGTCATCCCCATCTATGGACCAGTTAGAAACAGCAGCCATTGCTTACTGGACAGCTGGCTAGAGACCCACTAAGTGGGGGGTGATAGTAACTTTTGTATGAAATTATGCATTTTCATTAAGGCTAGTCTTATAAATTAGCAATCTGACTACAAACTCGTTCGGCAGATGTACTCAGCCCAGCAAAGCAAGCGAACCTGCTATATGTAGGTATTGTTAAGCAGTGAACTGGGATGAACTTGGGAAATTAGAATAAACTTTTTTTGGAGTCATTAATGTCAGGCTGTCCTATAGTCGAGTGATGCTGCATTGTAGATTTAGTCACCTCTGTCTTCTGGGACACCATAAAAATATAACCTGTGAGAATCATCAATACTTTTGATTTCTGAGATCAGAGATCTTGGGAAAAAGAGAGAGAGATAGAAAGAGAGAGAAAATGTAATCAGAACATGTGGCATAAGGTTCCCACCCCTTGCTGAGGTTTGAGCTTTGGTTTTTAGCCATCTTCACAAAAGGATCTTTGAACCTCATAGACTGTTTTTTCATATGAATGTCTATCTTAGGCGTGATTTCAAAAATTGGGCTTACATTGCCCCAGACTGTGTTTTTATTTTTTAATATTTATTTATTTGGCTTCACTGGGTCTTAGCTGCAGCATGCAAGATCTTTAGTTGGAGCATGTGGGATCTAGTTCCCTGACCAAGGATCGAACCGAGGATTCAATCCAGGCCCTTGCATTGGGAGCATGGAGTCTTAGCCACTGGACCACAAGGGAAGTCCCCACCCCAGACTGTATTATGACTATGCTGCACTGTCTTGACACATACAGAAGTATATAGGCAGGTATGTATTTTTAATATTAGTTGCCCCATTTAAATGTTGGAGGATTTTGATTTCTCTTGAAAAATGAAAGGTCTGGACCCACATGCCACCTGGTCCCCACCCTCCTGGATCAGAAGGCTGCCCCTTGGGTCCAGGTGGACCTCTTCATTTTGACAGCCTTGCCTACACTTTGTTGTCTGTTCCACCTGGATGCTTTACTCCTGTGACGCCTCTGGGCATTTGAGATTTCTTGGACTCTAGTTTAGGACTCAATCCTCCCATTTCCTCCACCAAAGATGACTTCTCTTCCTTTCAGGCTTATTTTTAGAAGGGTCATTATTTCTCCATGAAAAGTCAAATTCTGATTGCCAAGTGCAGAGCACAGAGGCTGTTGGTCTGTAATACTCTTCTCACATGTCCATGTACTCATCTCCTAACCTCAGATTTCGCTTC